CGTCGGTAAATACATGTATGTTACTAGCATGTCATGTTGAACACATTGCCCGAGCAGTTCTGAAACGTAGGTTGGAAAGGGACTTCAAGTAAGTTGGCGACGGGACCCTTCAGTAGTACTAGTAGCAGGAGCTGACGAAACAGCCGCTGTTGGAGCAGCGACTGTTGAAGCTGGGTTGAGCGGCACTGAACTGGACTCCTTTCCAGCGCAGTTCTCCTCGTCAGCTGGTTTTGGTAGCTCCAGCATGGCATCCAGGATTGCGGCATTCGATTTCTTCGCAGCTTCTGTAGGTTGGTTGTATGACGACAACGACTGCACAGATTTGTGCAGTGAAGTCGCCATAATCACATGCGGTGCGACCTCGGCTTCGGTGAGCCTGGCTAGTACTGAATCCTACCTGACTTCTTGATCAATTGACACGACTCAAACTAATACTTGCCAAAGTCACTAAATCAACGTCAACTACAATAATCAAGCCACATATCTGCAACGTCACGAGGGTTCTGGCAAAAGTCCTGCTGCACGGCGGCGGGCTTCGCCCGCCGCCGTGCAGCCCAATACATGTACGTGGCTCAAAAACCTGATTTTTTGGACTTAAAGCAAAATTCTGCACACTTTCACGTGTTTCCATGATACGACAAGTTGCGCACGGTCTGCTCACATTCAAATACAGTGCTGCCAACAAATGACAGCGTGCGACAAAAAAATCTTTCCTTGCAAGGCCACATTTTCGGCCATAACTCTTGAACGGCCGGTCAGATCGGGACACAATTTTCAGAGAATTTGCAGCTATTCATGCTCTTTCAACTGACGTAGCACTCAATATGAATTTACAAATTCGATTTTTCAGCGAATTTTGGGTAGTCTGCCACCTTAAAAGGCTTGCCTGCGAATCACAAGGTCCCGGGTTTAGTTGGAGACCCGCGCTGGGAGTGGGAGCATGCAGGGAGCGTGTACATCTACCAATCATGGTGTACGTCTACCACGTGTAATGACTGTGCTAATAAATGCGGTGATGCATGGGTGAACATGCTTGCAAGGAACTGCGCTGACACCCACGGCCACGCCACGGTCAACTGGGTTAAACATTTTAAATCATGAATAAGTACTAGTACTGACCACCCGCCACCCTGGTATTGCAGGCATCGACTTGTACATGACTCTGCTCTGCATGCATACACGCACAACAGAGCTAGAGGCGAAACGCCGAAAGGCTCAGCCACTATGTAACATTTCTATAAACTTAGAAGTTGCGACTTCGGCGGTAATAGTCATGAAGTAAGTTGATTGTTCCAACTACAATGTAGGAACACACGCTTCTTGCCCAACTTGACACTTGACTGACTCACGACTGCCATCCGGAGCACACGAGGAGCACGTCGCACCTTCCACTCGGCAAACCTGCAAGAAAGCACCACTTAGGCCTTGACGGATTATGCTAGCATAATTTTTCGCATAATTCCTACCAAAATCGAATAATTGCATAATTCGAGGCAAATTGCATACGAATCGCATAAAATTGTAATAATCCGCCTGTTCGCATCAAATTCCATACAGTTGTACATGTTCTACAAGTACAAGTACAAGTAGATGCACTAGGAAGTCGTAGGTTTACGACTCCCTTGAGAACATGTCCAGTCCACTACAATCAGTGACGGCCGTAGCTAAGTCGAACGATGCGTTGACCCCGTTGAACTTTTGCTACTCCAGTACAACATGGTACAACGCCCTCTACAAAAAATCCCCTGTTATTTTGCACAGAGCCATTATACATGTACATTAGCAGCATATGTGAGCATAAATGCGGTATAATATGATAACTTAAGCATAAAAATAGCATAATTCTGCAATTTTTTCAGCAATGCGAAAAGCATAATTTCACGAAAATATTAGCATAATCTGTCAAGGCCTAGCACCACTCCCTGCTCAATGTATATTAATACACAGTGTTTCTGGGAATTCACCCCTCATTAGGGTCCAGCGGATAATGCCGGCATTATATTCGGCATTATGAGACTATCAGAGCATTATGGAGCATTAGGAAGGAACAAGACGAGCATTATGTGAGGTTTGAGCGGCATAACGAGTTTTATAGTGGATATCAATGTCGGGAAATATAAGGTTTTTGGCAACAATCGGCTAAAGCCGTGAGGTGCAACGCCATTTTACCTGACTATGTATGTATGTACATGTATGTACATGTATGTATGTATAACTCATAATCACAAGGTGATCGTAGAGGCATTTATCAGCGAGAGAATTGTGAATGATGTCTCTGAATCCAACTCTATCGTGTGCTGCATGAGAGAGAGCATGCAAGGGAAGACCCGCCCAACTGTTAATGTTAGAAATCCATGATGTCGTGGGCCTTCCTCTCGGTCGAGATCCAGGAGTTGATCCTTGCAGGAAGGGCTTGGAGAAAACGTGATGTCTCGTAACATGGCCAAACCACATCAACTAAAATTTCTTGACTTCGTTCGCTAGCCGCATCCTTGCTCCGATGATGTCATTGATTTCTTCCAGGATAGATTGGTTGGTACGCCGGTCGTGGTATGTTACTCCTAAGAGTCGGCGGAAGCATTTCATCTCTTAGGATGAAATTCTTCTCATTGATTATTATTATTATTTAAATTTTGAATAGGGCAATCCCCACAGGCCTAAGGCCTTTTTACAGGGTACCCTATGATGAGGCAGATAATGTCCAAGATTGGCATCCGTATAAAACAGTCGCTAGCACAATAGACCTAACAAAACGAAATTTAGTAGGCAAAGAAAGTGATGGCGATTTCCAAATGAATTGAAGCTCAATGATCTTTTGCTTCCCTTGTGCTAAGCGTCTTCTTATCTCCACATCGGACTTGCCATCCGACGTGATTACGCCACCTAAGTATTTAAACTGGGATACCTCTTCTATTCGCTCATTGCCTACTTGTACATAGTCATTATTATTATTTTTTTATTCCACAATGGCGTGACGCCAATAAGGAAGATTGATACGTGTGGTAGAATTGATACTATAGCCAGAAACAGCTATTAGTAGATGGAAATTACCCCGCCGGCCGCCGGCAGGCAGTAAAAGCAGACATTTTCGGGGGTGTTTTTATTTTCGGTAACTTCGGTGCCGACAATTTTTACCGAAAATAAAACGCACCGAAATTTTCGGTACAACAGATACTGTATACATGTAGTACTAGCACACTTACCTGGAGAACGGGTTTTACCGAAAATTTCCCGCTACCGAACCGCCGATTTTGGCGAATACCGAAAATATTACACCACCGAAAATTTCTGCTTTTACAGTAAGCAATAGATCTGATCACCATGAAAAACAAGCGGGGTCATTAGAAGGGGTGATCGAGACTGTTACACTTTCGAAATATCAGAAACCGAGGGGGGGGACCAGGAACAGGTGCTGCTCACAAGAAGACTGGATGCATTGTTTCGGAACTTGATAATTTCCACGATGTCGGGCTAGCTGTGAAGTCGATAGGGAGTGAGTTGTAGAGGGTGAGGGCACTGTTGATGGGGGAATCTCGGTGCCTGTTTGTGTGTGCGTGTCCTATGGAGTAGGTCCTTCCCTGTCGAAGGGTGTATGGTTGGTGTTGACGTTGTTTTGCAAGATGTGGTTGTTGCCGGTGTGGTGGGGAGGTTTGGTGGCGGATGTCCCATGCTAGTAGGACTCGGAGTCGTGAGCTAAGGATGGGAACCTTTGCATGATGGAGGAGGGCACTGTGGTGAACTGGTGCAAAGAGGGGGGGGGGGGAATCCGAAGGCGGTCTACATGGTAAAGCACGGGGCTGAATTCTCTCCAGTGTGTCCCGCTATTGCTGTGTGGTATTGGAGCAGGCAAAATCAAAAAAAGAAAAAAGGGAAAAAATACCGGTACGAGTATCAGATGCTGTCGTCATGCTCATGGATTTGTAGGGACTGTGCGTGCTAGTGCGTCTGGACCGTGTAGGGCGATTATAAGTACTTACTGCAGTACATGTACATCAGGGAGTCGTCAAGTATTAAATTTTGACGACTCCCTGATGTACATGGTTGACTGAGTCTGTATACTGGGTTAGTAGTAGCAAGCAAGGCTGGCTGCAATATCTAGGAGTACATTATAATGAGACCGTTCTTATTTCCATGTATTATTTAGAGTCTGTGCGCAGTTGGGTCACTGTCACAGTGTGTATACATTGGCATGCTGTGCTTGGTGAAATTCTAGCCTGGCCGTGGAAAGATGACAATTGGCTATTGAGCCACCCAACGGCCAACGCCCCCTGAAGTCCCCAAACTCTGGGTGGACCCACACACTCACAAAACACTGTGACGCGCACACACACACACACACACACACACACACACACGCACACACACACACACACACGCCACACTACACACACACACTCAGGCTTGTACTTGTTGCTCACTGCCAAAACTGGTCACGTGGGTCTCCCCGGGAGAGGGGAGAGAGACTCAAAAGGAATCTTGAAAAGATGACTCAACTGGCTATTGAACCGTCCAACGGCCGACACCTCCTGAAATCCCCAAAACCCTGGGTGGACTTGAATATGATCCCACTTATGGGCTCACCACACCTCAGTAAGTGGGTGAGGACAAGGTGCAGAAAAAGGATTGACGGCATCAGGGTATCCGTCCTGGGATCCATCTGCAGTTACCCCTGCCCCCCCCCCCCCCCGTGAAGGTAATACTTGCTACTAGTGTGGGTGGCTAAATCAGAGTGGATCTGATCTAAGCGTCACTAGCACCATTGATTACACAAGAGTTAATCTAGCCAGAAGCAGTCCATGGTTAACAGGTATGTATACTTCAAATAGAAAGTATACGAAACCAACAAAGGTGGCAGATACAACAATACACCTTCAAGCAGCCGAGCCTGTTAGCAACAGACCCAACACAATCAGGCATAAGTGTACCCACCAACCGAACTAGCTGGCACACACACACACACACACGCACACACATGCACACCGGCACACACACACACATCATTTTATTCAGGCTCAGAAATAAATGTACTAACAGCCACATACATGCAATACAAATTATGGAATCCCCATCCATGGATGACAGAGATGATGGTAGTGATAGTCAGGATTGTTCAAGAACATGACAGTATTGTGTGTGTGTATTAATTTTAGTTCTGTAGGACTAGGTATAGAAAACACAACATCCGAATGATTGTAAAAAGAGAAGAAAAAAGGGATTGTGTTCTTCGGAGTATCGTATTAGCTAGTAACCACACTGCAGAAACAATAGAATGGAAAATAGTTTATAACGGTAGTGACCACAGGCACAGGAATGCCGGCACGCACCTGAGCTGCAGAATGCCATGAGATGAGGAATAACGCGGGACAATCATACCTAGATGTGTACAAGTAGAATTACAAAGGGCTTTCATGTTCTCCGAGGTCGAAATGCACCGCATATGCCTAAAACGAAAGCCGTTGAAATAGAATGATTTTGATTGGTAGCACATACATATACAACGCTGTGCCAATAAATGTGGGCCAATGGGTGTGTACTCAGCCTACCAGAGAATTACATGTCCATTACCAGCATCCAGGATCAACCTCACACAGAAAACAAACCTCACTGTACGCACAATGGATAGCCAAGCGTTTTCCATTCCTCGTGCCCAACAGCAAACGTACACGAATTGGACGGCGGAAATACATGACCTAGTTATCCAACTAAAGGAGCGTTTGCTTTTCTTCTTCTTGTCCTGCCCTGGATTTCTTACTTGGTGTGTGTTGGCCAAAGGTACGATACTGTCCACTCGATGCAGTTAGTCTTCGAGAGGCGGACGGGCCGCTCCTTCTAAGGTCATCCTCCACCGTCGTCACCGCAGCAGGCCCGGACCTTGTAAACTTTCCACTCGCAGTCATACTCATACTATGTGTCGTCGCATCATCATTTTCTGTCTCTGCAGTATCACTTGCCGAAGCTGCGATGCCATCGGTAACTGCTGTGTCGACTTCTCGATCTGGCGGTCTAGGGAAGTTAGTGCTCATGACGTTAACAGGCTTTTTGCTCTCCTCCCCCTGTGGCCAGTCAAACAGCTTAGTGTAGAATGTGTTGGCTAAAAATGAGCGGGTCGTTATGGAAACGATGAGGGAGAGTGAGTCGAAGTCCGAGTGTGGAATGTGGCGTCTTCTCAGCGTGCTCGATATCTTCATTGCATCGTAGGCAGCAAGCAGAATGCTGTGTATTGCACTAGCCACTAGGAACAGTTGCCAGCCTAGCCTGCACACTCTGGCGCCTGCTCTGCTCCTGGCTACAGCAGGCTCATTGTTGATGGTGGCACACAGTACATCGCCACTGACGTGCAACACGCACATGGCCGACATGAAATACATGGCCAGCTCAAGCTCATATCCCAGGACCCAGATATCCCTGGAGATGCCGTGTAGCTGGGTATCAAGTGTGCAGAACGGCTCGAGAATCATGCAGGTCAGGATCAGCATGAGCAATATAAAAAAGCTTGGCATACGTGCAAGGTGTAGCAACACTAGCCGGCTGAAGTAGTAGTTCTCCCACAAACCTAGCACCAGCAAAAACCCAAGCAGGGTTGTGCTCTCCAGGTAGAACGAGAATGCCTCAAAGATATTGTAGGCCGGCTGCCCCAAAGAATCCACGCCCTGGCACAAGCTGACGGTTGTGTCATTGAACGAGCACGCAAACCCCACGTAAACGTGGATGCCTGAAGACGTGAAACGCATCAATGATGTTATCCACGCCAGCGCTACCACCATGATTAATCGAGTCATGGTTGCGTCCTGCTGACATATGCATGCACGCACGCACACGCACAAACATACACCCATGCATGTACATACACACACACACGCACGCACATACACACACCCGCACGCCTGCGTGTACACACAGACACACGTGCACACACACACACACACACACATGTATACAATCATGTCTTATGAGCAACCTCAGCTGTACGGCCAAGCCCCACACTACACGGAGCACTGCTAGGTGCCGCAGAGCTAGTCATGGGGTATCAGCTTTGTAGCCTAGACCGTTCTTAGTTTCATGCAGGGAGTCGTAAAATACCGGTATTTTACGACTCCCTGGTTTCATGTACATCATTGTATGCACAGTGGAGTCACCATAACTATGAACCGTATGCAGTGCTTCGTGAAATTCTTTTTTTTCTTCTCTTTTTTTACGTTCTACGGCGCTCTGTTCTTTGGTATATGCCAGAACTGTACTGAGACGTTGGAAGTTCAGCAGAGTAATGTTGTTTTTTTGTTCAGACGCAGGGCATGAATTTGGCTTGTATGTGTTTACAGCAGGAAGTCGTACCCAAACTGGTTTGGGTACAACTCCCTGGTTAAGGCCCTCTTCAGACTAGGCACAAAACAGCCTATAAGTCACATATTGTAGAAGTTTCCAAGACAACTACAAGAATCTGGCGGGAGCCTAAAAAGCTGCTCAATCCTTTCAGGCAGGGTGCGAACCCTTGTATATGTACAAGGCAAGTGTTTCCTGCATTTATAGTACTTTCACCAGGCAGTCGTACACATTTTGTACCCGGGTACGACTGCCGGCTGCTTTCACACATCCCAGGCCCCTTGCGCGATTGCGTAGGGTCAACGGTTGCCTGTATATTGCATGCAAAATGTGTAGTCTGAATGCAGGCATGGAAAAATGTTGCCTTTCAGGTTTTATGTGATTTTGTACTGGATGTTCTATGTACGTAGTCTGCAGAGGGCCTTAAGTACAGTGAAATCAGGCGCCGAAGAATGGAGGGGCTCAAGGCGTAGCCTGGTATTGTTATAAAATGATCGCATATTGGTCGTTTTGTTCTCATTCCGCGATCATGGAGAGCATCATATGCTGCGATCACACCACCTACATGTATAAAGCAGTACATGTGTTCCTAGATCTGCATGGCATCTAGCCTGGATTGTTCTTCAATTTCTGCCATTCTCCAGGTTAAGTGTTCTTCGGCGAAGTGTTCTACGGCGCCCGATCATACTCTATAGCTACACACACACACACACACACACACACACACACACACACACACACACACACACACACACACACACACACACACACACACACACACACACACACACACACACACACACTTTTCATGAAATGCGTTCTACTTACGTAAGTTACGCTGGCTAACGTTTAATACTATGCGGACGACGTTTATTTTGCTCTTTGCCGGCCAGCGAGTCCTGCGTTGTTCTGAGTGCTCGAAACCAAGAGTCTCGCCTCCTCCTGTGTTCCGTGCACTGCTACGTTCTCGGCCGCAGCTGCTTGGTATCTGCAGGCAGACGTTACTTTGAAGTAACTTAGTTTCCAGACTGAGATATCGGAAGTTTCAGAGGCAAGACAGGTCGCTTCAGGCGGGAAAGCAGGCTTCCAGCTGGTCACGTCAGACGGCGACGGATTATTGTTCCAAGTCTACTGCTTGAACTGCAAGAAGACGGAGTAGCTAGCCTACATAGTAGGGTGTTATGGTAAACGACCACCGGCACTATCTACTAACTGAGCTGCAAATAATTGCAGAAAGGCATTGTCGGATGGGTCCTGGCCCGGCTGCTGCGCGCTGCCGCAGAGTTGCAAGAAATGCAGGACAGTTCTGGCCGCGTGTAAAGTGTTATTTTGGTACTCACGTCGTTTCACTACAAAATGCAAAGGACGGCCACGCTCATGTCCCTGCCTCGGTTCTACTGCATGGTAGATCTAGCTAGCTCCTTCGTTTCTCAAGGCAATCCGAGTGGACGCGAGACACACGGTCATGTATGCGGAAGTAAAGTGTGAGTCATGACTCATGACTCCTGTAGATGTGTCGACACTCGACAGTGTCGTTCACAGACCAGACCTGGACATGCCCGTCAAGATAGCTCACCTAGCAGTGTCTGTGATAAGGCCGGGATAACCTGATAACGGCTCAAGAAGAACCACAAGTGCGTAACATACTGTCTGTACTGTCTGTAGTTGTTCGCGCTAGATAGCCAAACACTGAAACAGTCTACCTAACCTGAAGCCAAGGCTGAACAGCCTGAAGACTCACGGTCAAGAATCCACAGACCGTGGTGGTGCGAAGCGGGATTTCCCCACTGACGAACACGCGCACGAAAAGAAATCCATCCAGACGGACCAGAGCAAAAGGTCGCGTCCAGTAAACAATGCATGCAGTGCGAGGTATGAAGAAGAGGGTGCACTTTGGACTTTAGTTTAGTTCAGCACGTGCACGCTCTATAAAATCCAAATTAGGAACTCCCAACGCTCTTGCAGCTTGGGGCCCCTAGCATTTTGGCGGCCTACTTGTATCTATGTATATTTTGTGCCACTCTCACCCGCATAAATTCTGTTGTGTTTTTACATTTTACTTCACTTTACTCTGATGAGCTGCTTAGACAGCGAAACCGGTAAGACAATTTCGACCAGTAATGGTCAAACTCAAAATGTAAAATGTGCTCTGTCTACTGTGTCGGTGGTTGCATGCAAAATCCAATTTCGTTACCCTAGCACCACCCTCAGTAATTCACTATGCCTCCGAAGACTCTTGGTATTTCTCATCAGGCTGCGAAACGTCGCCATTCTGAAACTACTGTTGCCGATGATCAGTTCGTCGCCGATGATCAGTTCGACGCCGCAGACGCCGCAGATGATGACCTGCCACCAGCAGACGTCGACACCGCTACTGCCAATGATGCTGCCGATGCCGCCGATGGCACTGATGACAATGAAGAATCATCTTCTATCATGTCAGGAACATCGCCATTGCCCGCAGTTGAAGTAGAACGGTATGTCAATACTATTGTTAATCGTCTGTTGTTTAATTGCAAGAACACCAAGACTCCTATCAAGAAGAAGAAGAAGAATGTGTCAAAAAAGTTGACAGTGACGATGAGCAACAAGAATCCAAAGGCTGTTGCCCACCGAAAGCCGAAAAGACATTAGCTGAAACTTTCAGATCACAGCAAATATGTCATTAATTCCGGTTTTCATAACTTGTCCAAATTCTCCTTTGACCCTGTTGAACAGCAAGTATTAGGTTACGGCTCTAGTTTCCGTTACACTACTCACTTGCCTAGTCTAGATGGTATCACAGCTGATTTCAATAGACTACAACAGAACATTAGATGGAAAGATTGTTTTGCGAATAATGATTTTAGAACTTCAGTGTCAAAATCTACTTTTATTCCTGGCTTCCATCTACATTCTTCCAAAAACTCCTCCTTTAGCATTTCCTCACACAGAATCAGCTTTAATCCAGTTCAAACTGATTTAAAAATTGCTCGATCTGTCCTTTATCGAAAAGCAAATCTTACCATTGATGAACAGCTCGCCCTGCAGAGGCTTAAAGCTTGCAATGATATCATGATATGCAATGCTGATAAAAATCTAGGAACCGTAATCCTCAATGTTGAAGATTATATCGCTGAAGGATATAGACAATTAGCAGATAAAAAGTTTTACTCTGTTTCTTGTTCTGATGTTGACACCACACAGTTATCTAGTTTAGACGTTTCTATTCAGTCTGCACTTAAAGATATCTGTTCTCAACACTCGGACCTCCTGTCTAAACGTGATTTATCAGCAATGTTTGCTTGTTTTCCGTTTAAACCAGCCAAGTTTTACATGCTACCAAAAATACATAAAAAAAAAAAAAAACCTCTGGCACATGGCGCTCCAGGTAGGCCCATTGTATCTTGCATAGGCTATTGCACCTCACCTGCATCTAGATTTGTAGATTTCCATCTTAAATCTATTATCAAATGCAAAGCTAATACTGTCCTTGCTGATACTGTCGCTCTTACTTCTCTCCTCTCTAAGTCTCAGTTCTCTAGCAACTGTAAACTTCTAACAGCGGATGTAGTAAGTTTATCGCGAAACGCATATCTCTACATTCCTTTCAAATCAGACCACCCCAGATCAAACTTTCGTTCATTTATCATAGCTGAATTGCATCGATACAATAGAACTAATACATTGTTGGACGATATTCTACATGTTCGTCGTCTGTTCTGGTCTCGACTCAGATTGCGCGGCTACCCATTTGATTTCCTAGCTGCCGTTTTCTCCACTGTCAATCCACTGCCGACAGTACCTGAGAAGAAGAACTGTAAGAAGAAGAACAATGATACGCTAGTATTTTCAACTGCATATCACCCCTTCTTCATTAAACATCACACCAAAACATTGCTACAGTCAATTTTTTCAATTTTTTCAACTGCTGATGTAAACGTGTTCTTCAGAAAGACAAAACAACTATTTCACTAGATTGTTGTCTCTTACTACTAGAAACTCGGATGTTGAGCCATAAATAAATGTAAAATAGAAAAGGACATATGGATACGAGTTTAGAGTAACTCTCCATCACTGTAACATGATACTATATACAGTCAGAAAGTGCAATAACTAGGCACAAAACTGACAGAGTACTGAGACATTCGACGTCCTGACACCTAACTTTAACACATCTCCGTAGCGCTAACCTGTCAGTTTTGTGCCTAGTTATTGCACTTTCTGACTGTATATAGTATCATGTTACAGTGATGGAGAGTTACTCTAAACTCGTATCCATATGTCCTTTTCTATCTTACTACTAGAGTTATGCTTTTCCATAATCTCCTTCTTACTCATGTGTAACCCTTAGCTGCAGGCAAATATTTTGCCTGCATTTTGGCAGTGTCAATATATTGACACTGCCAAAAATATAAGTCTGTACACATTACCATACAGATATAATGTACACACTGGGCTTGCATGCTTTTTTCACGTACAATTACAAAGCTTGCATGCTTTTTTCACGTACAATTACAAAGCATGTTCCATATAGGCATTCACCCATATTGGAATTCTAGCCCACTTTACTACATATATTTCATAACAGAATTACAGCATACAACACTTCCAAATTAGGAACTCCCAACGCTCTTGGGGCCCCTAGCATTTTGGCGGCCTACTTGTATCTATGTATATTTTGTGCCACTCTCACCCGCATAAATTCTGTTGTGTTTTTACATTTTACTTCACTTTACTCTGATGAGCTGCTTAGACAGCGAAACCGGTAAGACAATTTCGACCAGTAATGGTCAAACTCAAAATGTAAAATGTGCTCTGTCTACTGTGTCGGTGGTTGCATGCAAAATCCAAAGTCAGTTTCAAAAAGATTAGCAATCCTGGCGATCGCTCGGGGAGTTTGCCGTCTTACCGTATGAGCGCTCGAGGGCTGCCTGGAAAAACTCACTGTGAACTCGAAGAAATATTCCGCGCGAAAGCATGAAAAATGACAACTCACTGACGTCGGTACTCGTACATGACTTTGTGTTCGTCTGGTTTACAACAAACGAGTTCTTCCTCGTATCGATATGGAGTCAGAGAGGACATGTCGAAAGTCTGGTAAATGTTGACGAGCGGGATGCGTCCCAATTCGTTTTGTGACCAAATAGATTCTTTGAGCTGCCGTGGATGCAATTTACTCTCACGATGTGACGAAAACGGCATTGACACAGACTCATTCCCAAGGCCTTGATGTGGCAAAGCTATCCGTGTGACTTCGACGACATTTTGAGAAAAGCAGACGCCTGTGAAAGCTGATAGAAGACGGCGTTGACTCCTAAATTCAAATAAATTGGCGAACTTGAAATACTAAAATAATTCTCAAACAGAAATCGATCGATCGATGTGCCGGTGCATTCAACAACACGTAGCTAAAGCGCAGTGACTTCCGTTTTCACTCACACGGTTTCAGTGTTGTGTGTGTTCACAACTTCACATGGCGTGAGCCAGTCAAGTGTCAGTCAGTTCGGCAGGAAACTCGAGCTCCAACAACAAGTCGTTTGGCGCAGCCACCTTCTTTGTCTTGACTCTTGTACAAAAATTGTACCAGCGTGATCACCAAAACAATGAAAAAATGAAGAAAAAATGTTTGACTTGAAGATTTGCTGGGATTTGAACTCAAAACTTCTTGGTCAGCAGACAGCATTCATAACCACAAGGCCAAAAAGGAAGGGATAAATCGTGGGTTTTGATAACAAATCGATACTGGCTTCCAGGGCAAATTATAAACCATGGGAAAAGGCAAGAAACCTGGCCGAAATTCTAACTCCTTAACGGTTGATCCAATTGTTCTGAAACCTTCACAGAAAAATTTGCCATGCCCTAACAAGCCATTTTATGTACTTTGTTGTCCAAATTTCCCTTATCTTCATACTTTTTAAGACCCAAACTTGATTGCTAATCTTTTTGAAACAGACTGTAGTTCATGCACGACCCAGTGACACTTCACGGCATGCCGGCAGGGAGTGTATTTAAATTTTTCTACTCCCTGCTTCACAGACTCGGTGCATGACACAAATAAAAAGAGTGGTGGTTGGGATATCCTCTTGATCTTGTAATTGTATTGTACAGACATGGTGACACTTGTATTGTGACAGAGAGGATGAGCGTGTCACAGAAGATCTAAGTGTGTGTACATGTACATGTACATGACAAGTATGTACATGTATGTGGTATAAATAAACACTGGTTAAAAACCAGTATTAGAGTGTCCTCCTCCTTGTTTCATGCTGTCAATCTAACAAAATAATTATGTATGTGTGTGTGTGTGTGTGTGTGTGTGTGTGTGTGTGTGTGTGTGTGTGTGTGTGTGTGTGTGTGTGTGTGTGTGTGTGTGTGTGTGTGGGTGTGTGGGTGCGTGCGTGGGTGCGTGCGTGTGTGTGTGTGTGTGTGTGTGTGTGTGTGTGTGTGTGTGTGTG